AGGGTTCGTGCTTAATGCATTTGTTCTTTAGGAACCCTGCACACAATTGCAGCATCTCAGCTTAAACAAGCCACACTGAGAGAAACAGAACACAAGAGGAGCAGCATGATGATGGAATCAGACACGGCTCTGCCAGGTATCAGGAATGTGATTCGCAGCTACTCGAACTCTCCAAGCCTCAGTTTCATTATGTATAATGAGGATAAATAATAACAGGACCCACTCTGGACAGGTGTGAGAGTTCCATGTAAAAAATGAAAACAGGGGGAGGGTCTCTTTAGCAACAGATGTTAGACCACAGCAGCCTGAGAGCCAAAGTCGCTGAGAAGAGGAATTTCGAGTTAAAGAGCAACTTGACAGTGGTAACTTCATTCCCCAGAGGCTACGGCCCATGCCGCCTTCCTTCCCTTACGACCCACCCCACGTCCATGTCTGTGAATCATACAACCCCACAGCTCATATCCTCTCATCTGGAAAGGGGAAAGTCAAACATTAACCTCAGCATTTATTAGCAACCTAATCTCAGGCAAACACTCTTCATTTCTGGGCTGGAAATAATGCACTATCTATCTGTGAGACAGAGGTAACCATCCTCCTCGCTCTATCCCACAGGGCTGCTGTGAGGAGTAAACACCGGCTCGCACCATCCACAAAGCTCCGCACAGAGACGTTCCCTTCTCCGCATCTGTTGACAGCGGCTACGTCTTTTGAGTGGTGTTCAGAGCGTAAAGAGGCCCTCAGTCCCGGCAGCCTGTTGATACGGGGGCTAGAAGGCTGGAAATTAAATGAGCCGTGTAAACATCAGGAAGACCAATGAGTATTGCACAGGCCACAGAGACAGGCAGCCTGAGTGATTGCTGTTTGCAAATCCACACTAATTGGTCGTTATGGAGGGAAGCGTTGCCAGTCCGTCACCGATTTCCCACAGTTTGGTTTTAATCACGCACCGATCCCTTACAAACTTCCCGCTCCCTATTACTCCATTCTCCAGCACCAACCGATATAATAAGGGGGCGACAGTAGCACTCCTGAGAAATGTCATTTCCAACGTTTGTACAAAGTGATTCCTCAGAGCTGTAACAGGGGAGGCTGTCATGTGCGTCTGCTCAGAGTTTCGTGTGACACACTTCTGAGCGCAGATGCGGAGCACAGCACGAGTCCACTTTCCTCCGGTCCTTCCTCCTTACCTAACATCACCTACTGGATGTGTCCCCTTCCTGGCTGCACATGTCATGGAAAGACACCTGCCCCAGGGTCTGCCCTCGGGATGCGGCCTGGTACAGACAGGGCTGCCTTATTTATGCCACCGCTGGGTCACTGACGTAAGCACACACAGCTGCCCCCCCAAGTCACACGGCTCAACAGACCTCAGGAATGTGGTGCCCCTCACAGTGATAAAGAAACCCTTTGCTATGGCTTTATTATTCTTAGCTCTGAATTTATTGTGTATCGGTCATTTAGGGAGCCTTTTCATAAGCCAAGCATCACACCAGCCATTAGGGATACAAAGGTGATGAAAACAGACACGATCTTGGTTTGAGACCTTCCGGTGTAAGGCAGAGACAGCCATTTATCAGCTCATCACATGGAGGCCTGAAAGATTACGCCCTAATGAGATCACTGCAGAAGTGTGTGATCCTATGCGAACACGTAACAAAAGAACCCCTATGAGATGATGAGGACAAGGGAAGGTGACATGAGCAAAAAAACTTGGAATTACTTAGCAGTGGGGGAGAGGAAGGAGACTGGGGGACAGAATTCAACAGAGAAGAAATAACCTGTGGAGCCCCCCTGGGAAGGAAGGAGCAGAGCAAATTAAGATGGGAGCGGGAGGCAAGTGGCGCAAGCCTGAGGCAGGAGGTGCAGGAGGAGAGTGCGGGAAACCCGAGGCCGTCAGATCCGGTGGCTTCCATCTGCAGCGCAGTTGGAAACCAGGGAAGGCTTTATACAGAGGAAAGGGTGGCATGACTGGGCTTGCGCCTTGTAAAGCTGACGTTTGCTAATGACCGAGAATAGATTAGGGAGAGGAGAGGACGGCAGAACAGAAGGGAAGAGACTATTCTGGAAAAAAAAAAAAAAAGGCCGTTGTGCTGGGAAGGATCACAAAAGCTTGGATTAGGTACAGGGGAGGAGAAGCCACGCAAGGACGCAGTGTGGTTAGTGCCAGGGTGAGGGAGAGGGACACCTCAGTGACTAAGTAGACGGGGCTGCCACAGCCAGTGGGGGGCTCTGGTGAGGGCAGTGGGCAGATCACGGCTTTGGGTTTGTTGAGACGGATTAGGTGCAAATTACTACTACTATTATCGCCATGGAAAAATCCTGTTTTATAAAATGCTGTCCTACTGGAGTCCAAAAATAGTCTCATGGGATTCAAGAACATGAGCAAGAGTGGTGATTGGCAGGGAAATAAAATGCAGGTGTTAGGGCCTTCCAGGCAGAGGACGGTAGTAGAGGTCTCCTTAGAGGACAAGCCTCTGAAGACAATATCCTCTTGGGCACATCAGCATTTTTTTAATTATTATTTTTTAAGACATGGAACTTCTATTTCAAATGGATAAAAATCCAGTGTGTAAAACAAAGGAGCACTGGTCTACCTGGATGAAGGAGAATCAGAGCACCAGGGCTTCCTCTCTTTCTCCCCTTTCATCCAAGACCCTGGGAATACATTCCAGCCACAGGTGCCTTATTCCTTCAACTTATCAGCTATTCATGGACTTCACAACAGGCCACAACACCAAGGACAATTTAAGTCATGCTGGCCCTGGCTGCATGTATCAGAGCAAAGCGTTATCGAGAATTTGCCATGTTGCAGAAGCTGGATCATCTATCTCATCGCACCCCTCCCTGAGTGGCTGGCCCACCCATTTGACAGATGAGAAAACCAAGGCTCAGAAACAGCCAGTTCTCTCAGTGGCAAACCAGGATTTAAACTTAGTTTTTTTTTTTCCCCCATTCACTTCGTGTTTTCTTAAACAGCGGAGAGTGCAGGCTTGTAAGGGACACGGCGCAGGGTCGCCAACTGAAGGGGGACAATGAATGCAGAGGCAGAAGCTTTGCCAGATGCCGCTCTCCTTCCCTGCTGCTTCCTCCCCATGGTGTTGGCGCTGAGACCCTGGGAGACGGAGTGTCTTGCTTTCACCTTAATTAGCGCAGCAATTTGCTAAATTTTGTTTTTCCCTTTTTAAGAGTGTTAATCAATTTTAGCTCAGAATAGATTGGAATGGCACGCAAATTACCACGACAATCCCCACATGCTAAATTTTGAACATCTCGATCAACCTCAGAGCCTGAAATATGGGAATATCAGAAACTCTGGCCGGCATCGCAGCGATCTGTTTAACATGTTACAGCTCTAAAGTGAAAAGATAATGGCCTTATGAGGTTTGGAATGAGCACTCTGCTCAGAATCAGCCTTACACCGAGGTGTTTAGTCCTTCCCAAGGAGATGGGAGACAGAGCATCGATGTATTTCTGCAAAGTTACATATACCTCTACTACCAATTTTTTAAACCCACAAGCGTGATAATGTACTTGCTATGCATAGAAATACAGAAAAGAATAATAAACACTTCCTCTCTCCCTACTCCATCATGAAGGGCCCAGGTGACAGACAGGGGAATACAGAATTTCTTCCTCTTCCCTGGAGACGTCGGGGAAGACCCTAAGAGGAGGAGGAACACAAGTGTGACAAGACAGGTGGGAAGGGCATGTTGGATGAGGGAACAGCATGAGCTCAGAAGAGAGGGCAAAGAGGACTACAGGTGTTCTCTGCTACCTAAAGTAAAGTTCGCAGGAGTAATAAGAGAGGAGACCACAAGCAGATTCAAGAGCCAGGACTTCTTAACCAGACTGTGACTCTCAATCATGACGCTGAAAAATTTTAACCAAGAGAGAAGATCGACTGTGCTTCATTTGGTTGAAAACGCTCCAACCCAGCATAATCCTTAATATTTATTCAGCAGGAGTCATTTGTTTTTTTAAATTTTTCTTTTCTAGGAATAAAGATTTCGGATATACTTTACTTTTTATTTCTGTCGACTATGAGAAGATTTTGGATGAGCTTGACTTTTATTTATTTCTTTCAGTTTAATAGGAGGGTACAGATGATTAGGTTACAATGTTGGTGCTTGTCACGTAAAGTCCAAATTGTAGTTGTGCCACACACCCAGGGGGTGCCACACGCCCTTGCATTGTGCCTGTTAGGTGACAAGATGCCAACCCCCCCTTTCCTCCTCTCTCCCTCGCCCTCATAAATCATTTAAATAACAAATCACTATATTGTCTCATTCGAGTCTCTTCATTGCCCCACAAGGTTGATATTAATTATAACCACCTTTCTATCAATGAGAAAGCAGGTCCAGCATAGGTAGGCGGATTTACTTTGTGTCTTATGACCAGTAAATAACAAACGCCACAAACCCAGGCCCATCACGCTCTGAGCTCAGCATTTACCTCACTGGGGAACAGAATTCTCTAGCTCAGTGTTTTTGAACCTTTTTATCTCATGGCACACTCGAACCTACAGTTCAACTTCCGAGGCACACTTAAATTATGTTGATCAAAAAGAAAAAAAAGAGTAAAGGAAAAGGATATACTTACGGTGCTTTGAACTTCTTTCAAAAATAATTTAATTAATGATCTTTACAAATTTTCACAGCACACTTAAGATCCTCCCACGGCACCCCAGTTGAAAACCACTGCTCTAGATAACAGCTATATCATAGATCACTTCCTTTTTTCCAGATGACAGTCTCCACCATCTGCAGAAAGCCTCAGTGGCCAGAAGTGCATGGAACGTGTGGACTCTAGGCTAATGGGGTGGTTAGGTTACTGCCTTTGAGTATAGAATCAGATTTGGGTGGCAAACAAGCTCAGTTGTGCCCTGGACATTTTCAGCTAGGAGCTGAGATTTCTGCCATTGCTACAGTCTGCCAAACCCCAAGCGAGAACAGCTTCCAGCTAGAGGAGCTAAGAGAGGCGTCCCTGCCCTCCACCTGTACCTTGAGCTCGTCCGCGTTGTAGAAGTCCACACGCACGGCGGGCACCATCCAGGTCTGGAAGAGCGTGGCCAGGATTTGCTCCGCGATGGAGTCGGCGATGAGGTGGAAGTGCAGAGGGTTCCGCCTGTGGAGTGAGTGGAGGGAGAGTCAGAGGCAGAGGGAGGGCTGGGCAATTCCAGCTGCAAACACACCTCTCCCCTGCTGTGGGGCTAGGCTCTAGCAGGAAATGGGGAAGCAAACCAGCCGTGTCACCAAACCAGTGCTTACTGGTGAGGACGTCAAGCTGGAACACAGAGAGGACATCTCATCCAATCTCAGCATTTAGGTGAAGTGACAGCAATGCACCAGAGAGGGGACAATCGCTGGTAACACCAGTTCAAGCCGACCACCCTCCCTGTTATTAGGCTGTCTGTGTTTCTGAAAGCCTTAAGTAGAGCACCTGTAACACTCTGGCCAACTTTTATATCCGCCTCCTGCACGTGTCATCGTTAAGGCAGAAACACGTGGTCAGAGGGCAGGGCCTTTTAGATTGGCTAGAGCTGGCAAGATGCTTCTTCTGTAGCACATGATAAGTTCTGTTTTCTGTGTATTTCTCTACAAAAGAAAACCACACTTTAAAGATGGAGTTTTCTAGGGCGGCGCCTGTGACTCAAAGAAGTAGGGCGCTAGCCCCCTATGCCAGAGGCAACGAGTTCAAACCCAGCCCCAGCCAAAAACTACAAAAAAAAAAGAATTGAGTTTTCTGAAATGCCCATCCTCGACTAGTGGCCTACCCTAACTTCCACTATTTCTACAGCTTTTATTCACTCAACCACAGTCAGCTGGACCTAACTGAGGCCAGCTCCAGAATATACAGGGGCATGACACAAGGGCAAAGCTTCTGGAATCAAATGGAAATGGGTGTTGCCATTGATTTGTGGGAACGCTGGGCACATCCCTTCTACCCTCAGCAGAGTTTCTTAATTCTGTAAAATGTATACAGCAACCCTCTCCTAGGGCTGCTGTGTCGATTAAATGAGATAATAAGGGTCACGCATAACATACCAAAAATAAACACGGCATGACAGCAAACAGCAGACACGCCTCACCGAGAACTGCTGGGCACAAAGCAACAGGCCAGGTGAGAAGTGCCATCGTCAATACTGTTGTGCTGCTAAATATCAGGCACCGCACCACCATGAACGCACCACCACTACTAGAATAAGGAGCGGTGAGAAATGCAAGAGTGTGACCCGGCCCACCTGACCTCAAGGAACTCACACTGTCCGCGGAGACAGACGAGCTGCAGTTAAATATAGAGAGGAGACAGAGTGGGGCGGCTACAGGAGAACACGGAGCCGTGCAGAAGGGGAGAAAAAGCAAGGCTAACTCTCGAGTGGTGTGGCGGGACGTGTAAGGGAAGAGGATAAGTGCAAGGCGGAGGAAGGAGAAGGAAGGGAGGAGGGGGATGCAATCTGGGATCCCGGGAGCAGCAGGAGACGAAGGCCGGGCCCTGGGAGACGGGCAGGGACTGGGGAGCAGGCTGCTTAGCCAGGAGTCCAGGGCTGCAGCAGAGGGGGGAGGAGAGCGTGGACAGCGGGCAGCACAGCGAATGTCTGATTAAACCGTGTGGACTGCAGGGAAGGTGGGGGGGGGGAGCACAGGACCTGCCTCCTGGCCCTCAACCTCCGGAGCAGTGGTTCCCGAGCCCTATCTTGACATCCAAAGGGATTTCAGGAGAGAGGATCTTAGATATAGGAAAAAATGGAGAGGAAGAAGCAGGTGACACCGAGGTTCCTGGTTTGGTGTCAACGTCTTCAGGACAGGGACTATAACAAGAAAGGCACACTGGAGGAAGATGATGGTGCACACCAAGTTCAAGGTTAATGCTGCATAAATGAACCTGGGAAACTGTGTCCTCAATAAATATCCCCACAACTGAAAAGAAAGCCATCTCTCCTCCTTCCATGCCACCATAATCCCCACCGTCAGAACAGCTGATGATGTATGTTGCATCAACAGGTCAGCATTAGGGCTCTGTTCTAGAACGTCTGAGTTGGAACTCTTGGCTGCAGCACTTTGCTGAGTGACCCTGAGCAAGTTACTACACCTCTCTAGGCCTCAATTTCCTCAGCTTCAAAACAGGAATAATCATGGGAAGGAATACTGCATCGGGTGATTGTGAGGTTAATATGCATCAGGTGCTTAGTGAAGTACCTGGCACGTGGACGTGGTCAAGTTTCCATAAATGTTAGCTACTACTGCTATTAACTTATGAGACTGCTATTTTCTGCATCGATCTTCCCACTAAAGTAAGTCTAATCAGTAACTCCATCCATAGACAAAAGAATAGGTTGAATGAATAAATGTCCAACGAATAGCTCTTAAGTAGAAAGCATAGGTTAGGTTCAACAGGGGTACAGTGAGGCATGAGCTAAGGGTGCTTTCTTCAGGCAGCTTGAAATCCAGCAGAGGCAAAAGAAAATCACCCAAGCACTAGAACAGGCGTGTGCCACTACACGGGGCTGCCACTCCCCACCACAGAGCTTGGGACTGGCCCACCTCCCAGGGAGCCACCTGCAAAGACTGACTTAGATGGAATTGTACAGGACATTCTTAGAGTTGGCTGGTGCACAACCTGCACAACCATACAGGGTGACTCTAGACGGAGAAGCACAGAAACTACAGGGGTGTGAGGGCAAAAGAGGCTGCTTCTTAGTCCTGGGAAATCTAGGAAGTTTCCATGATTCATACTCTAAGAGGAAGAGCCAGACAGGGTTTGGAGGCACAGCAGGCAGCAGATCCAAGATATAATTGCAGAAAGTTATAACCCGGTCACAGAGCAGTAGTTAGACCAGCGTGGGGTAAGAGGAGCAGGCTTTTAGAGGAAGGCAGTGCCAACAGTCAGATGGGGCTTCCCTCTGCCACGTTCTTCTTCCTCTGGTCTATTTCAAGTGTATCTACAGGAAGGCGGGTAAGGCAACAAGAAACTTACCCCACCTGTAGGGAGTAATGGTGTCTGCATTGTCCAATGGGTCAGCACACGACCTGAGCTTTCCCTACACAGGGTCCAGCCCACATGACCACTGACACCCGGCATTTGATGCTATCTGAGCAATCAAAGGCGGGGAAACCAGCAGCAGCTCATCTTCCTCCCATCAGGTGACATGCTCAGAGGGGTTCCACTGGTGTCCCATTTGGATACCACGATGAGAATCTGAGACCATCTAGAGAATGCAGTGACCCTCTCCTTCCAGATCTGCCACAAGCACCCGGCAACACTGCCCTCTGTGGAAGCAGAATGTTTACCCTGGGATTTAACTTGAGATCCTGGCTGCCCACGAGATGGTGCTACTGTCAGATCCCACAGGTTGGCCTCTGACTAGGAGGTTAAGTCCAACTTATGGTGACACAAGAGAGAGCCCAACTGTGGCCACAGATGAAAGAACATTCTATAACGCAAGACTAACAGCACCAGGGGTGATCACCTCACCGTGCGTGCCTCCTGAGTCCTGTTTCACATTCAGTTCCTCACTCAGGAAGGTAAGGAATAGTTTTAAGGCTAGAACCCAGCAAACTCCAAAATCAGCCAAAGACTATGACTCTACATCCTGTCCTCCTTTGTTCAAAGCAAGATTAGCAAGAGCTAGACAGATGTTAAGGGCGTATTACACCCAAGTGAATTTCACCAACTGAAGATAATAACAACTCATTCTAAGGAATAATTTTCCCAATATAGGATCCAAGGCTAGTTTTATATTTGTATACATGTAAAAGACTCTTTAATGCTAGTCATCAGCTATAAATACACGTTGTGAGCATTGCTTGAGGCCCAAGAGAAAAAAGGCTTCTGCTTGGCCAGGCCAGGTTGAGTCCACATCTTAAAACAGAGTGGGTCCCACACAGCTCGCCTGTATTAGTGCAAGATAGATTTTGCTGCCGTTCCAGCACTGGGGAACTGGCATTGTTTTTCGTTTGTTTGGCTGGAGCTCGGTTTGAACCCACCACCTCCAGCATATGGGGCCAGAGCCCTACTCCTCTGAGCCACAGGCGCCGCCAGGGAACCTGCACTGTTAAGACAAAATATGGCCTTCTAGTTCTTGAACACATTGCTGAAGGATCACCAGTTGTGTTTTCCTGTCCACATGTTCTTGACCGATCACAGATTAACTCACGTTTGCCCTTGCATTAGCTACTGCAATTTTTAAAACACAGGGGAATGTAGGATACCGTAAAAGCTTTCCTGATCAAGTCGTGGAATAACAGCCTGTGACATGGAAGAGACTCTGCATAAAACTGCTGGTCAGCAACATGGTAAGTGTGGCCTTTTGACTGACTCCAAATTTTACGCCACAAATCCTTTTGTGAAAAGGGGTGCAGCACAGAAAGATGAAGCTTTCATCGTCTCCTTTGGTGCTTAAAAAAGAACAATCTTGAAATCAGAAGGCCGCAGTTCCCCACCCCCACTCCTACGCCAAAGAGAGAAGGAAGCCCAGGTTTGCACTTCACTTAATGATCGATGCTCCTGCTGCCTCTGGGTCCCTTAACTGCTCCCTGTTCCAGGCTGGGATGCAATCAATACAGTACTACAAAGACGCCAAGATGAGCAGACCGTTGCATCCTTCCCGCCTTTCCGTTCTCATTTCATCAAGAATGTGCCACAGCCCCCTACAAGGCAAGCCGGGGTCTGTCTTCATTAAAATATCCAAGGATATCTGCGTGGAAATCATCTTTAATTATTGCGTTTACAATGCGACAGCAATTTGGGGGAAAGAAAGAACCGGTGATGGTAACTTGGATGCTCAGTGAATCTCTTGCACTTAGAGATTTAATAGAACTCATTTCAGAAAAATCATAGCGGCTGGAATGAGGGTTTTTCTGAGTGAGTTCAGTTTGAGAGAGGCCAAATGGCTTTGATAAGATGAGACGATTCAAGGACAAGTCTGTATCATGTCAGAAAAGCTCTCTAAGGGACAAGAACAGAGCAACTTCCAGAAGAATCAAAAGGTCTTGTGGTACAGTAAGAGCAGCATGGATTCCAGGTGTGGGCAGAGCCAAGGCTGGATATTTACTCACCTGTGACCTTGACAAGACACTGAGCCTCCCAGAGCCTTAGTTTCCTCACCCATTTGTGGGGATAATGAC